AAAAAAAAAAAAAAGGGGGGGGGGGGGGGGGGGGGTGACACGAGCGTGTGTTTTTTAATGGGTGTCTCGTTATGACCGCGGCGAGACCCTCGCACGGAGGAATTTAATGCTGCACGAAGAATTTTAATCATGATAATAATAGTAATAGCAATGAAAGGGTTTTTACTGCGGCGCGTTACAGAGATAAGTGTACAAATACCTTTCTGTGCACATGCGCCGAGGAAAGAAAGAATGAGGACGCAATAATATTTGAGCATGTATATTTATGAGCGAATGAGGTGGTGCGAAGGCGGGGCTCCGCTTAGGCGTGTTTGCGAACCAGCCTAATGAGCCGCGGAGAATCGTATTAATATATCTTAGAAATGAATTCCGACTTGCTGAACTGTAATGAAGTCTTGTTCGTTTAAGTTTCGCGTTCCAGCCGCAAGAAAAGTCAATTAAAGTACGCGGCATCGTATTTCATTATTAATTGTTTTATAAAAGATCGTTCGATAGACGTTCTAATTATATTTATGTCGCGTGCGACGTCGACTGCGAAAATTTTCTTCGCGCTGAAAATATTTCTATCAAAACCGTCGATTTCGTGGTTCAACTGCTTTAACCTTGAACGTTTGTCTTAGGTTCAAATTGCACAGTTCAACTACAACTTTGAGGACTCAAGAAAATCGTTCACTATTGTAAGTTACGTTCAACCACTTACGTCCAATAAATTTAAGTTTTAGTTTTCCCGTAGGACATTTATCCGTAGATAACACAGACACGCACACACACACAAGACCTTGAACTGTTCGGAATATCTTTCTGCGAGTGCATGAGATCTCCGGTCTCCCGACGACTTACTGCACTACTGCTTATAATCGCGTTCTACACGAAAAAGAATATTCTGATTGGCTGTTCAGATTCTCGAAAATACTCACCGTTACGAAACCACGCCATAAAACGAAGTGATTCGAAATTTGGAAACTTATTCTCTCGGAATTCGGAAAATGCTTTCTAATTAGCTGTCGAAGCTAGAACAAATATCTAATTGATCGATGAACACGCGTGAAAGTTGGCTCGGTTCGCCGCAGCATCCCAGAAACCGCGCGATTTGCAAAAAAAAGAAAAAAACGGGAAGAAAGATTGGCAAAGAGCATGTCGGCGCACGCTTTCCCCCCGATCATTATCGCCTTATTAATTTTTGAAACGTCACCGGGCCGCCTCGCGCGCGGAGTTCCAGACGAAAAATATAGCTGAAAGCACTTCGCGGGGAACGCCTGTTGCCATCGCAACGGGCCAATACTTTATAATCGTTATCAATACCGTATAAATACAAGGTTTCAAACGCAGCGTAATAAACGAAATAAAGTATGGCCAATCTCGTTGCAGATTGCCCGCGCCGACTTTTCCCTCGTTTCCACCTACTAGCCGCCTCCACAATTGCAATTAATAACATTTTTTCCCCGTTTGCCTTCTTTCGAATTTCATGAGTATAAAAAGCAAAAACGTGTTCTCGAACGCGTCGAACGCCGTGACCTCCCTGTTCCGCGCGAATTTTCGTAGCTCGCTCAGCTCGTTGAACGCCAATCACAAAGAAAGAACGAATTAATTAAGCTCGCGGAAACTGTGTCAACTCATTGCACCGTCTTGTGTCCAGGTTTTATTTGCAAATCATGGCATTCGGATTAACGTTCGGCGCCATAAGGCAAGGTCTTGACGTAAGATGTGTTAAAAAGAAAGTGTGTCCGAAGGTTTTAATTAGAAAGTATTACAAGCATGTTGTTTCTATGGTCTAGGATATTTTTGAAAAATTATTCATGCCTGCATCTGTCAAATTGGTCTTCGAGAATTGCTCTTAGCGCAGCGGAAATACTATTTTCGACGAATAACAAATTACCGAGTCCAAAATACCGAGTCATTCTTTAAACTATCTCGAGCATCGAGCACATCTTTTTGTCAATCTGAAAGTTGAAAAAATGAATCTTCCGAACCTCGAGGTTGCAGATACAGTTCACGGTGTCGAAACAGTACTCAAGCTAACAAATGCTGCGGAGAATTTTCTTGAACACTCACTTACACATCATCAATAAACTTCCTGAAAAATGATTAACAACTGTCGAACCTACAAAATTGCTTCCAGTAGTATCGCTTTGAATGAAAATATTATTTTCGAGAAACAACTTGAGCAAAGAAAATCCAGAGACATTTCTTAGACTTATGTGTTCGAAAGATTGAGAATTATGAACTCATCAATATGACCGACAGCCGACTAATCGGTTCGAACTTCTGTTACAGGACAGCGACAGGAGTAGCGCTGGCAGTCCAGAGCCGGCAACAACCATCGGCTCGCTCCATGAACACCAGATGATGATGGAAGAGCTGAAGAACTCGCGGAAGAGGCGACGCAGTCCGTCACCTGAAAATCTGCATCAGGCGAAACGGGCGGCAGTGGCGCAGGCACATCTTAATGGGACAAGTGAGTCGGATCGCCTACAAACACTGAGTAAATGCAATTTTTCTGACGTTTCTCTAGTTTCCGTTTCTCATGCCGAGCCTATCCACAAAGTCTCCATAATTCTGAATCTTGATCAAAATGTCGTCGTCGCTCTCAATCTTCGCGATGGGTCTGTTCTTCGAATTTTAGAGCGACGTAATTGGCTTGTTTCATTAATTGACACAGAGATTCTTACGTTGCAGTTGCGATTCCATATAGAAAATATAGTTCCGCGAAGTAGAAATTAATTTTCGAACGAATTCCAACGAGTTTGACCTTTCCTCGCTGGCCAAAGCAGCCGAACGTGTCGCCATTCTACTGGGAATTGCAAATTTCTGACAGTAAATCGAACAGAATAGTAGAATGCGAAATAATAGTTCATCCAATTTTTATTCACATGTGGCGCGTTTAAATAGAATTTGAACTGCGTAGATATTGCGTTTGATTGCGTTGACAACGTGGTGATTAATGAAGGAGAAGTCAAACATTTTTATGTTTGGAATGAAAATCTACTATTCGTTGACCGAAATTGTCCTGTTTAGATCATTTTCTGCAATTTATTTTGCAATTTAAATCGTTAGGATGTTCTGTGAGAAATTCCTGAATCGATTCATAAATTGTTATAGAAATCAGATCGGTATATATCAAATGCATTTTTGTAAATTTTTGTATGAAAACTACAATGCGGAAGCGAAGTACCGTTCCACAGTTTTCGTTGTCTAATCGATACAGTTTAGAGTTAAAGTTATCGAAGCATTTTTTGTAAAATTGTTCGATCAATTTGTAAATTATCGTGAAAATCGTATCGAAATTTATTAGTTTCATTTCGGCGATTTTTCGCATTAGAACTGTATTATGAATCAAGATTGTCTCTATAGATTGTTTACTCTCTCTATGCTATAAATATATTTTACGGCTAAACTCATTAAAGTATGATTCTTGAAATCGAAAAGAAGATTTATTTCGGTATAATTTCGATAAAAAGTGAGCGAAAAGTCTGTCGCGCACTAGTATTATACGTTAAGCATACAGTTATCAGAACAATCGACGCTATCGTGATCGATAAAATCGAAAGCATTATAAAACTTTGCGTTTCTATTTCCGCCAGTGCCCGGGATGGTAACTCTGCAGAACCTTCAGAATCTGGCGAGTCTGCAAAACCTGCCGCAAGTCGCCTCACTAGCCGCGGGTCTCCAGGGAATGACAGCGGGGCTGACTAACAATCAGCTCATCAACACGCCCTTGAATCTCACTGTCAGCTCATCCGGTAGGACTTCCAATTGTCGATTCAAATGGAAACGCGTGCCATAAGTGACGTGAAATTTGAAACCCTTCTCCCCCACCCCCCTTTTGAATTTTATTTCGCGCTGCTAATTATCTCACCCTTGAAACATTTCGCGGGTCCCGGGGATATTTCATACTTCGCCCGCTGCGAAGGTGGTAAGGGCGCCCCGGCTCGAGATTTGAATTTTAATTCGATGTTACGTTAATTTATTCAAAAACCCATTGGCTTCGATGCCCGCGACTTTGCGCTTGAAATCCGCTTTTTACCGTGGCAACGGAAAAATATCCGGACTCTCCAACTCGTCGCGGTGACGTTTAACTGCTAGCCGGACCGAAAATTCATGTTTAAGCTGGATTAACGTTCGAAGAAAATTTTAATTAGACGAGTCTGCGAGCTCGTTCTCTTGGAGGCCACGGGAACATTCGTCTCGTTATCTTTGCGAACGATTTTCAGTGGGAAAATATTCGAGAATTGTTGCTTCGATAGTTCGATAGGTTTGTTACAGTGTTCGCAGTCAAAATTAATCTTTTTGTAGATTATGTTCACCTTTTTGCAATCGAAATTCACTCGCCTACAAATTAAATTCCATTACTTGTGACCATTTGCAATAAAATGCATAGCAGTTCAAAACATTGAATAACATTTTATAAGTAGTTATTGAAGATTAACGATGATGAATTATTTGTAATCAGATTTATATTATTTTACACTAAACATGTAAATTCAAAATGGACAATTCGATTTGCAAGAAAAGCAGAATACGAAAAGAATTAATAAAAATTCTACAAAAGAATTAATTATGAATGAAAAAGTTCAACGCGAATGTCTCAAGAAACCACGAAAAATTCCATTTTCACTATCGGAAGTCGCGAATAAATAATTCCCCTTTTCAAATACAATACCAATTAACATTAAACGCACCACACAGCCGTGTTCAAATGATCGGTTTTCAAATTTTTATTTTAAAATTATTGAAACTACGAAAACGCTTTCACGGAAAATCTGATCGATTGAATATCTGAATGGAAGCATGTGTATCTTAACGAAAAATGCACGAACTCTAGATAAATGTAATACTCTAACTTTTATAAGACGAGACAACTCGGTTACTTTTACTGTTTGGTACGTTTAGTGTTAAGAAACACACGGTAAACAACGATCACGTGCCAGGCAAACAGATTTACCGGAGTGATGGTGCATCTGAAAGTAAGAAACGATGCCTGAAATTACCGGCGATTCCGCGCAAGAAAATGATCTTGCTATTTCGTGGAAACCGGTTGAACCGATGACAAGACATCCCCCTTTTTTTTCAATCGAGAAATCGTGATGTTCAGGTGGCACGGTACCAACAGCCTCGAGTACGACAGCTGCGCCACACCTCCTGCCACCAAGTTCGGCGCCAATGGTGACATTACCTCAGCTATTATCTCAGCCGCAACCGGTTGCAATGCCTCAATTCATCCTAACGTCCGGTCAATTGGTTCAAGGCATTCAAGGGGCTCAGCTTCTTATCCCTACGTCGCAAGGTAAGCCTTCTGTTTCTTATGTATCCGAGCCCTTTCAGCGCTCCGAATGACCATTGATTGACACCCATTGAAACTTCTCTCCTCTTGATGGTAATAAGCCCGTCAACGTTGAACGTGTCACGTAAATCGATGGTGGTCCTTCAGACTCCTCTTGAATAGTCCGTCTTTGTGATCATCGAATGGCCGGCGTTCCCCAAAGATCTACTTTTCGCGAAATTGACCTCCTTCGTGACGTACGAAATTTCGGATCCGCATACGACGAACTCGATACGCGCGATCGATGTTCTTGTCGCTCGCGATGACGGAAGCAATACCGAAACCGAAGCTGCAATTATTATGCCTTTATGGCCGAAGCGAATTCAATATCGAGGCTGTTACTTCTATTTATGCGCGCAATAATTGCGGTAAAAGTACCTATTACGGTGCACCGCATCAATTGTGACCCCCTACTTGAAACAGTAGCACAAATGGGGTAAGCGTGTCAATTACTGTGCACCCACTTGGTTACTGTGCCCTGACGATCATTTCATTTGCATCTAAAAAACGACGTTATTAAATTGAAGATATCGAATTTTTCAAATGAAATTTGATCTGCCATTCTCGCAATCGGATCAAAATTTAATTTCTTAAAATTTATAAAATGCGAGAACTAACTTTTTCAATTTCTAATAATGGTTTCATGTGCTTTTTGCCTTGATATTGTTAGAATACTTAACAAACGTGTTACAAATACGCATGAAAAAGTACTAAAACGATGCTTTCCAAAATAAAAAGAGTGAACTACTATATTCTGTACTCGATCAAATTTGAAAAAAAATTGGCACACAAATTATTATATCACAATGTACTATCTGATGTAACCATACAAGTTACTTCTCATGTTACAGTAAATCGCCGACTAATTTACTCATAATTCCATAAAGTAATTCATTGTAAATACTACTCTAAATAATAAAAAAAATTATAATCGTGAATTATTCATATAATTATTCATATTTTTTATTTGTTTGTTTTATTCTGACCTGGCCGCAAAATATTCTAGACATCTTGAAATTCGATAACAATTTACGTAGCCAGCGATCACTATTTTTTACGCACTACGTATAACACTGCCGCTTCTTCGTGACGAGCATACTCGTCAAACGCAGCTAACCGATCAAAAAACGAAAGAAACTATCGAAATAATCGAGTCACGGTAAGCACGATGATCTCGAATCCAGCATCCCAGACGATGCAACTTCTTGTCGCGATACTTTCACTGGGGAACACACACCCGCGCCGGCCGAAAACGCGCTAGCCTAATCGGCGAAGCCTTACCGGCGAAATTTAATTAAACGCCGCGCAGAGATAAAGGGCCCGAGGGTGGATAATTGCTGGCGGTATCACAGAGGGCCAGCAAGAAGTCTCGAACAATAACCGGGCACGCTAAGTACCTTCGAATTTCGTGGGCATAAATCAGTCCGAGTGGACTCATCGGGAAATCTGCACGATGTGCACGCGCATAATGTTGTGCAATCAAGATCTGCCGATATATAATACACACAGACGAAGATATAATATCTGCGTAAATCTATATGTGTACACAATATACATATACATATATATACATATATATGTATAGATATAATATAATATCGACTATCTCTGACCAGTTCTCGGACTAAGGCTAGCCCCGTCGTCCATACTTAGTGGTCCTAGACTAGCCCGGCGAGCAGAGGGCAAACTCTGCAACTAATTTCAATGTATAATTAACGTCTCACTACCCCTTTCCAGACCCACGAATAACTCCCCGCCGCCTCGAACCCCTTCGTCTCCTCCTCCTCCTCCTCCTCCTCCTCCTCCCCCTATCCGTGTTCCTTCCCTCGGAACCTCGGACCTCCTCGGGACACCGTTCCCTCCCTGGCTACCCTAACCCTAGGTACTCTCTAGCTGGACATCACAGCTCCGCGGATTCGGCCGCTATTATATCGATTGCGGTTCGCGCTAACTTCGTTTCTACCAAGTTGGGTTTCTATTCTGGCAATTGGGCGGGAGAGAGAAAGACGGAGGGACGGTAGACCGGTATCGCGCCATGCCCGGGCGGCCGACCGTTGGAGCGAAGAGGGTGTACCGGGGCGGGCGAAGCACGAGAGAGAAGGGTAAGGAGAACTTTCGGAGTCCGCCTAAGTGGATTGAAGTTCGTGGATATGGACCAGTCGTGGTAGGATGACGAGTTACGTGGTGGCAAATAATGTTTGCACTGCTTCTCGGCTGAATCGATGCTAACTGACTAACGCTCGATTGGTTTCTGATCGACGCCGACGAAAGAGCCCGAAGAGCCGCGACCGTTCCCCAGACTTTCTGTTAGATGATACCCGGGACGAGGATTTTGGAATATGAAACACGAACGAGACTGTGGCATGTGTTGCACTCGAGCATATTCGGGATTTTTGATTGCTCGCTTCTGGCTGCCGGAGAACGGTTTAATATTTATAGATTTTTTTTTGGGGGGGGGGGATGAGTCGGAATTGTAGATTAATGGGATATTTTTGGTTCGAGTGTTGGGGGTTGATTTGTTGAGATTCGTAGTGCAGAGATTTTTTAAAGAGCGATCTAGTACAATGTTTTTTTTTGGAGGAATTTTGTTTCAGATTTTGTCTGTACTGGAAGCGCTTTTGCAAGAACAGGTGTTAACGCATAATTATTTTGACTTTCTGCAATTTCTAAAATTTCATAGCAGGCAAATTTAAGTGTCGGTCGACTTTATGCAATTTTTTGTATTGACTTTTTAGTAACAGTTTTGTGTGTCTTTGTCGATTCATTTTTAAGGGTTGATTTATTCAGATCGCCTATGATGACATTTGTTTAGGATTGTTTCAGTAAATAGTTTTTGTATATGTATTTTATATATCTTTCTCAATTTTATAATCTTGTGTGTCTTCTATATTTTTCAAGAAGACTCGCGGTTGTTTAAATTATTCAAGTGCTTACAAAATTATCGCTTTTGTTATAAGAAGGGAATTTACAGTTTTCGTACGCGAGTGAGTAGAATCCATATTTCTCTCGGCTTTTAGTAACAATTTTAGCCGTTTTGCATCAGCAACATATGTAAGTAATTTTCTACGTCGTTCCAGTCGTTTGTCTACAGAACTCAATAACACGTCGTTTATCTAGTACGATCAATTAATTTGAGAAGCGAATTGTCCCGTATTGAATTTTTAACTAAAGCCGGAATAGAATGCGGGTTCGCAAGACCGTGAACGTGTCAATAAAAAAGGATAACGTTATTTTATATCACGGTATACAAAAAAATATCTACATACGTTCCTTCTATTTCATTAAAAAAATTGCTTATTAGTATAATAAACAAAAAATTGATTACACAAGGCAAATACAGTGAACGTTTCACACTACGACAGAGTCGATAAACGAACGCATTTGATAATGATTCGATCAAAAACAATAAACAGTCGAATTACATCATGGTTAGGACACGTTCGTATGCTCGCAAACGATAGGGATTCAAAAACGAAAACGATGAGCATAGTAATGATTTGATTTCACGCATTCAATTTGTTGAGCCTGGCTCCTTCTCGGTCGTAATGTCAATTTCGTCACATTCGATATCGAGTATCCGATCAATCGCTCGTCAACGGACTGTTTTCGTCGGGATCACGGGTTCCTCCGCGATTCGCTCGACGTGAATATTCCCGGGTGGCGAATTAATTATGAAGAAAGTAGGAAACCGCTATAAATATTATATATATATAATATGTAATATTAAATATTATTAATATATATGTATAATATTTAATATATATTAATAATATTATATATATAATATATATATATAATATTTAATATATATTAATAATATTATAAACGTATATAATATAAATAATATTTAATATTAATGTATATATAATATTTAATAAATTTGTTTATATAATATTTCATAAATATAATGAACCACAACCAAAAATTGCTACATAATTCTCGAAAGTATTTTTTCAAGAATATCTTGAAATTTTAAAAATCATTATAATCTGTGAAACATGCCCTTTTCATTTTTTAATCACTTTTTTGAATAATAGTATTTTAATAAACAATTACCACGATGTAAAAACTACATAATACTACTCAGATCGATAACCTCGGCAATTCGAATATTCAATATACATATAATTCAAACGTTCAAATATAATCATGATCACTATCATGATCAATAACTACATTATTTCTTGGTAAATAATTCTTCCTATTAATGAAGAATCATTTGTCACTGAATGATTCTACTCATCTGGTAATTATGTTATTTCTTCGTAAAATGTTCTATCGAACAATGATATCTAGCGAATTGTTTCACAACCAATTATAGCATAACAATAATTGTAACCACAATCGATCCGGAGACAATTGGAAGCAATATTGACCGAATGATTGATGGATTCGGCAGGTCATGAGCATTCCCACATCATTCGACCGGAACGTATAAGAATAAGTTGTTGGGAGACAAGACGGTTCAAAATTATTTTATCGTATGCCATATCTAGGTCAGCTGGAAATCCTCTCGCAGTAATCAAAAGACTATCTGTCCATCTTAAATGACAATCTAGTGGAAGACAGGAAGATGTGTATTTTTAATATCGTTGGATCGATGCTTAGGAGATCTTTGGCAGCTTGATACAATATTTAAGCTTTCAATTTCACGTGGCACGTGGAAACGATCCTTCAACACCTCCCGTCAATCGTAAATTTAGAATTCAGTAACACGTTTCTTTCTTATCGAATTCATTCGCGACGGAACAAACGATATTGATACTCGATCGAACTCTTGATACGGTCAACATACTTTTGTCTTCTTCAAATGCCAATAGACTTCTGGAATACATGCACGAAATTAGCTCTGCCATAGGTTCCTCGAATTTATAATCCACCTTTACGGATTTGAATAAATGAAATCCGCCTAAATAAGATAAAAATCTTAATTCATTTTGTGAACAACATGAATTCCGACGGTTGTTGTTCCGGACTAAGGATTATCTTAATAACTGCAACGAAAACTATTCACAAATAATACTACGAAGGAACCTACGTTTCGTTTCCATCAAAAAAAGATCCGTCGCGCGATTAACCGTCACTCTCTCGGAAACAATAAACGAACGAGAGAAACGGTTCCACGGGGGAGGTCGATCCGCAAGGACGCCGGGAATCGAAAGAATGATCGTGGCCGTACTATCATTGTCAAATATCGCTTAAACTGAACGGTAATCGGATTGCCAGTTGACCTTACCTCAGAACGCGAAACTTTTATGGCTGTTCGGAATACAGGATTTGCTTAGCTTAGCTATAGGTACCAACACGGGTACGTACTCATGATCAGTAATCATATTAAGCGCGTGTACAGGGTAATCAGATTAGCGGAGCTGGAGGTAATCCCGAAACTATTCTAAGTATGATTAGGCGTCCTTCTCGCAGCCTAGTCCAGTGCCAGTACCTGTACCCACTATTAAGATGACGATAATAGTTTGCCAACTACGCTGGCCTGCGAGGTTACCTGCCCTATGGGTTGCCTAATAATCCCTCTATGAGACTCTGATAACTTTACTACCCTTCCTGGATCAACGACGCGTGGACTATGTTCATAATGGAAATGAAGTATCTATTGATTCGAGACACGTTCATACAGCCGGCCCCCGCCCAAGGGGATAGAATTATCAACCGACCTCGTTCCCTGTCGTCGTTACTTCGTTAGATTCTAATCTGCTCGGGGGCTTTCTTTCGCTCGTTACCTGCAGGAATTGCCACGCAGACCATATTGACCATCCCCGTCAGCCACGTTACCAACAATCAGATGGTGAACCTGGCGCTGAGCAACGGACAAGTGGTGTCCACGACCCTGGCCAACCTACAGTCGATCACCCAGCCCCAGAACATGCTGAACACGCCGACCAGCAACGGTGACTTCACAGGTAAGATTAAGACGCTCGATAGCGTCCCGGTAATTGATCCGTGATCACCGCTTCTCAGCGCTCGGAGAAGCAAGGTGCAACCTTGTTTCAAGGGGCACTGCAAGGCCCGCGTGGACAATATTTTTTTTTTCGAAGGAACTATGTCATCGTCTTCTCTCAAAGTTTTACGGTGTACTCACGCATGCTTCGGTAATATTCAGAATTTTGTTCGTTCGGAAATAGTCAGGATTGACGGAGTTAAAAAATGTCAACTGTCTCGTACGATTTATCTTTGTACTACGATTTCATTCGAGTTTGTGTTAATTGGCACTTCATCCTTAACACGTTGAATGCCACGGGGTCATCGGTGATCGGCATTTAACTTGGCGGTGACGCCATGGGGGCCACCGGTGACCCCGGCGCGCCCAAATATATATTATTTATATAAATATATATTATAATAATAAATTATATTATAATATATTATAAATAAATATTATTATAATAATAAATATATATTATAATATATTATATATATATATAATTTAAAAGAAATGTCAATATCTAAAATTTTGTATTATTACCATCGTCGATTCAAATAGTGACCCCTGTCACAATTAACATGTGAAACATGGTTATACACGGTAACTTATCTATTGCAGATAATATTTCAACATTATATGTATCGCATAAAAGGAAATCCATCGTGGCGCCACGGACAATTTCTGTAAAACCGGCGTGGCATTCAACGTGTTAATAATATGTCTAATGGAATGATACTATTTTTATTTCTTCTATGTCTTGATTTACTTTCATTCGTAGATTAAAGGTTCACTTGGTTAAAAGTTACGTAGTTGAAGTTAAAAGTTAAAAGTTACATGGTTAAAGTGAAAAGTTAAAAGTTACATAGTTAAACTTAAAGATTAAAAATGAAAAGTTGCATAGTTGAAAGTTTACTTCCATGAATACTCACGAGAGTTGCTAACGTTTCCGTAGATACATTACCTTTTTAGATTTTATTTGCATAAGTGTGATACTAGCACGATACGCAGACGCAACATGAACTCTCAGGGATCGTACGAAAGTTTCATAGTGCACCTAGTGGACTATATGAGAAGCAACTTTTCAGAGTCAGTTACGTAATCACTATTAGCGGTCTCGGAGACCGCTAATGTTCGTTGCGTTATTATTGACATGGAAGTATTAAACAAAAAGAATCAAGCTGAATTATCCATGCCTTGCAAACCAAGATCGAAGGGGTCCAAGTTCAATTGCGTAGGAAGCAAGTGTATTCAAAACGTTCCCTTTTTTTCCAATTTCTCGTACAATTATGAATATACCGCGTACCTTTATGCAAAATAACTATCTTCAAAGACGATTGTAAGAAACAGAAATTAAATAAAAATACGTTGTTCCTTTTAATATCTTCGATATATTGAAAATAGTTTAACAATGTTATAAAATTGTTCTTACGTCTTCGTAATTTGATATATCAGCTACTAATTTTTCCTATAAACGCATAAAATCTGGAGTCTAATTATGGATAAAAATTATGAATGAAAATGAATAAGGATGAATAAGTAATTAGTAGACGTCTCGCGGACCGGCGATAGTAATTAGGAGTTAAAGCAATTTCAATTTTCCCTCTCGTCTGAAAGCTCTTTATAAATGGTGGTATGCATGTTAAGCAACGCGGTTTGTTAGTTCGTTGATAGCTTGTTAGTATTCTGACAGCTTCCAGAGGCTTTCTAACCGCGTTTCCTTCTTCGTTCGCCACAGTCCCGACAAGTCCCAGTTTAGCATCGGGACTGGGCCTGAATCCAGCAACGCTGCAACATCTACTGGGCAACAGCTCGGCCAGTCAGCAGCTTCTGAACGCGATGCAGCCGCAGCAACTGCTCCAAGCAGCGCAAGCTGTACAAGCACAAGTTGCTCAAGCCGCGCAGGCTGTCCAAGCAGCTCAGGCCTCGCAGCAACCGCTTTTGTCGACCTCGCCTCAGCAACACAGCCATCGACACGGCTCGCACATGAACCATTACACGGTACGTAAGCCGAACAATCGTAATGTTAAGCGTCTTTTTTCGGAATCATCGAAATCCGTGTCCTGCTTTCGAAATATAAAACTCGGTTCTTGCTAAAATTGGCGTAGAAGCCGAGAGACGTCAATCCATGGATCCTATTGAAATTACTTTTCATTCCATGTACCATCCTTCAGCTAAACATCAGATTCTATATTTGTCTCTGTTTGATTGTCAAGAGAAAATTGACACCATGATAACGGTTCTCCTGTATCTGCTTAGGGAACTATTTTCGATGGTAAATATGTTCGAATTTCACGACTGTATTTTGTCAATTTACCGGGTCTCTAATTGAAATGGAACCGCGGTTCTGCATTGATATGCGCATTATTTCTAATTGACTTTCGCGGCTCGCTTCGGATTACGAAATTTCAAGTAGCTTATTCACGCGGGAACTTGCTCGACGCTAGGATTCTGTTTATGATTCAGTCGATAATGATCTATTGAATAAATGGACGAGGATTTTATTCGTAATAAATTATTATTCTCGAGTAGATAGGCGTTTCTATGTTTGTAGAAAATATGAAAATATGTATGAAAATCGTGTTCAATATTTTAGTTTAAGACATCGTTTAGCGTGCTCAAAATAGTCTTCGTAAAGCAGAAACAGGCTGATTTTTAATTTCGTAAATTATCATTTTTAACGGCTTAACCCTTAAATGCATATTGTTGCCAATTGTCTACATTCCAGTTCCACTTAATTTTATTCAAAAACCTGAGTACGTGCGTTTCCGAACACACGTTGATAACAATAGACGATAGACCATGTGTGAAATAAAAGACTTGACATTACTTTTGGCGAGTAAGTTACATGTTTTTTGACATTTGAATGTGGTGGGTGATAACTTCCAGGTTGCAAAGGATTTTCACGGATTGAGTGCATCAAATGCAAGGTTGCTTTGTGTCACAACAAAAATCGCAATTGCTCTGCTGCATTTCATTCATAAATAATGTGAAAATTCCTATACGAATAGATAATATAAATACATGACCATTTGTTTACGTCTACAAAATAATTTTAGTAATAAACGCATATTGTTGCCAAAAGTCTACATACAAATTTTTTTTCAAAATAAATACTCAATATTATTACCTAGATTTTTTAATTTATTTTTTACGTAACCTATGACTACATCCCTATAAAAAACGATTTTTTAACATTCAAAACAAAAAATCATGCATTTAAGGGTTAATAAAAAGGACGTTCACCAAAAATCGTGTCGCAGTTTCTTTAATTAAAATTGAAAAGCAGGAACGGGTATGTTTTTCATTTCGTGAATCATCGTTTCCAGCAACTTCGCGATAAACGCTTATTCTAACAAAAAGTATAAAACCTCAGAAATAAAGTAAAATGTTATAAAATAAAATACAGTTTCCCCAGTTACCCGAACTAATTAAGTCACTTTCGTCAGCTACCGTGCTAGAACATAAAATCCTCGCTGACCTCCCCGAATTCTGTCCTATGCAATTGTTCGAATAGCAAAGAATTTGGATAAAAGACGTTCGGATAACCGAGGTTCCGCTGCGTGATAAAATGAGCATTGGAAGTAATAGAAACAGAGGGATCCGGAAAATTCTGTAGCGAGTCTTTCGGAACGTGTAATAAGTCCGACAAGTGGCCCGATACTTCCACCGCCAATTACAGCTTCGCCTAACCAATTCCATCTTCTTGTTCGGCAGCCATTTTAGAGAGTATATCCCGGCGCTCCCGTTTCACTTATTCCGTCCAATAAACCGTGGCAGACAATCAGCGTCCCAGAATTTCCCTCGTTCGCCTCAATTATTACATCGGATCGGTCAGAACTCCGTCGCAGACAGGACACTTTTCGCTCGCTCGAGGAATTTTGATTCGCCTCGGTTTCGTCGACGACCGGGGCACTGTTGCTCGTTCGATACTATTCCCGCCAGCCAATCGTTGTCGATACTGTTCACCGGCGAACAAACGTGCTACAACGACGCGAACAGTTTCCCCGTGGCACGACGTACGATGGAAACGCCGTCGTCGGTCCCCGCGAAGACGGAGCAGCTAAACCGGGCCGAAGATCACCGGAACAACCGGAATAATTCCCGATAGCAAGCGGTCTCGTTAAGAAAGTATTCCCGCGGCCGGTGCGTTTTCTTCCACTAATTAGAGTCTAAAGCGTCCCGGGTCCGAGGTCTCATTATTAAGTGCATAATTGGCGTGGAAGAGAGGAGCATTGTCCTTCCCGGCTCACCGGCTAATCCGTTACCTACCATCGGTTGTCCCTCACAGCCGACGGAGAAGCATCACAGAGAGAGGCCCGAGCAGTCGTCGCCGTTGAACGAGTCCGTGGTATCCGCAGCATCGGCGCTCAACAGACTCGCGGCCAGCAACGGGGAAATCACTATAACGACGTCGCACGGACACAGTGTCTCCGGTGTCAAGCAAGAGCCCAGCAACATGCTGCACAGTCCCAAAACGGAGGAGGACGATCTGCTAAACGATTCGCCGAGTAAGTTTCATCAGATTCTATACATCGTTCACGTGTCTCGCTCGATCGGTCTTATCGGATCTTGTCTCCGTTCATTGAGATTCTGTTGGACAGGTTTTTTTTTTACTGAATGCAGACATTTCTTATTCGATCAGCTGTTCTCGGATGAAGATCGTTAGAAATTATTGCCACTATCTTTTCACCGAGTTTCGAAGTTCACTTTTATTGTAATATGCAGGGTGTCACAAAATTTGTCTCGTAATTCGAAAATGGCGGGTTCCTCGGATCATTTGAAGCAACTTCTTCCTTTACAGAAATGTTTTCCGAGGCGCCGTTAACGAGTTATCAACGAAAAACAGTGTCCAATAAGAATCGAGTACGGCTGACGCGAGGCGGCCCAGCCAACCAGCGCGCGAAGCCCAGTTCCGCTCATTGGCTCGGTCGCCTCGCGCCAGCCGAGCTCGCCTCTCATTGGTCACTGTTTTTCGTTAATAACTCGTTAACGGTGCCTCGGAGAACATTTTTGTAAAGAAAAATGTTGCTTCAAATGACCCGAGGAACCCGCCACTTTCGGATTGCGAGACATTTTTGGGACACCCTGTATTGAGAAATTATACTTGAAAATGTAATAAAAATAGAACGTCGGGGTCACGTGTCAGTTAAATGTCAGTTTAATGGCGACTATTCGACAATGTTTAAAAAGGCACAGATTTCTGAAGAAAATATGAGGATTGATTTCTTAATCGATCTCTTAATAGCAGTGGTAATTCTAGTGAGGAGTTAAAGATTTGATAGCTCCTTCTTGTTACGATAATCCAGCGATAAAATCCAACCAGTTCGATAACACAGTAAAAGGATTGAATTCGTGCACTTTCGGTGTAGAAGTACGAGTTTGTCTTCCGCGAAGTACAAAATTTCCTTCTCCTTTCTACGAATAACAACAAGTTGGAGCGATCGAAGAAAGGTTTGATAGCATTTAGCACAGTTCGAAATTATACTTGTTTACCGGGCACTGCTATTACAGTAAACATTGCTTTGGCTAAATTTATGTATAAAGGCAAGGATTTGCATAAACATCGGCAGTCTAATCGTTAATAGTTCATGGTACTTCCATTTTAACGTTGCTGCCAGTAAGTGGGTCAGTGTATGTACCCATTCGAAGCCTACTTTCTGTACTGTTATCATTTATGCATCCGATATTATTATGCATACGATCCTAATAAATTAATAAACGTTATAACTTTTCGATTCTAAACACCGCTCTTGCCGAGAATGTAATATAAATAACGGGAGAACAAGGTCTATATCGATGAAATCATATTTTCTAGCGACCCCGTGTTCTTCAACTTCAGGGTGTCCAGTTTTAATTGGGACCCACGGTGCAGGCAGAAATATTAATCAGGATTCCATATCCTTGGCCTGCGTAATAATATTAGCCACTTTTCGTGGCTGGCGGCCTCGAATCATGCTTCCTTCCTCCGTCGATTTAACAATTAACGAACGGTCGAAGCCGATAAATAATAACGTTCGAGAATCTGGCCGCGCTATGAAGCGCTTAATAATTTTAATAGGATATCGTGCTATACCCGACTCATTACGATGTATTAGATCGTTCCTTGCTGCCTTCTGGGAAGCCATAAAGATACCGACGCGGTGCATAACCTCCAGCCGGCAGACAATAATTTTAATAATTCGCATTCGTTGCCTCGAATGCCACTTCGACGATAGAATAAGCGATGTATCCGCGGTCTAACGGACTCGGTGTGTTCAACCTTCCGACGGCCAATGTAATCCTACAAATGCGGGAATGTCGTCCGCTTCTTTCCGTCTGCCCGATAACGGCTGAATCTACTTTCTTGATAAAGGCCCTGAATCCTCGGGGCTACGCCGGCCAATCGACGCGAAACAATTCTCTAGCTTCGCGTGAATCATGCCGAAGTTCTTCCTAATCTACGAGCTGCCCCAAGACGTTATTCGAACAATTTGCTGTCGCGATGCGATTAATTTTTATTAAATCGAAAATTGAATAAAAGAAACACCGAATCCTTGGAGGAAACATCGATCAACGAACGACAGAAAATTCTCCAATTTCGTGTGAACATTACCGACGTTATTTCCAAGCCACTGGAGAAAATTATTCGGAAAATATACGATCACTACGTACGAACACTTTCACCGTTTGTTTTACTGTTTATTAAATCGGATTTCGTGATAACTCTGATCGAACGAGACTAAAAGTTTGAAACAATTTTAGGAGTAACTTTGAAATCATTCGTACACACGGTGCATAATGCAAATCAACATTTGCATGACTTCGTCGGAACTCGGATAAAATAATATACTTCCCACCTGTCCAGCAACAATAAAGAAAAATTTTAGTCAATCTGTGTTCAATTTTTATGTTTAAAGTTCGAAGAATATTCTTCTCGGAAAATTAGGGCATGTAACAGAGACTTAACACATTGAATAATAATATTGTATAATATGTATATATATTATATATATAATTATAATTATATCTGTCTCTTATACACATCTAGATGTGTATAAGAGACAGATATATAATTATATAATATATATTATATAATTATAATTATATCTGTCTCTTATACACATCTAGATGTGTATAAGAGACAGATATATAATTATATAATATATATTATATAATTATAATTATATCTGTCTCTTATACACATCTAGATGTGTATAAGAGACAGATATATAATTATATAATATATATTATATAATTATAATTATATCTGTCTCTTATACACATCTAGATGTGTATAAGAGACAGATATATAATTATATAATATATATTATATAATTATAATTATATCTGTCTCTTATACACATCTAGATGTGTATAAGAGACAGATATATAATTATATAATATATATTATATAATTATAATTATATCTGTCTCTTATACACATCTAGATGTGTATAAGAGACAGATATATAATTATATAATATATATTATATAATTATAATTATATCTGTCTCTTATACACATCTAGATGTGTATAAGAGACAGATATATAATTATATAATATATATTATATAATTATAATTATATCTGTCTCTTATACACATCTAGATGTGTATAAGAGACAGATATATAATTATATAATATATATTATATAATTATAATTATATCTGTCTCTTATACACATCTAGATGTGTATAAGAGACAGATATATAATTATATAATATATATTATATAATTATAATTATATCTGTCTCTTATACACATCTAGATGTGTATAAGAGACAGATATATAATTATATAATATATATTATATAATTATAATTATATCTGTCTCTTATACACATCTAGATGTGTATAAGAGACAGATATATAATTATATAATATATATTATATAATTATATATTATATTATATTATATAATTATATATTATAATTATAATTATATAATATATATTATATGATATAATTATACTTATATATTATATAATATTATTGTATAATAATTGTATAATTGTATAATATTATTATACAATATTTATTTATATTCAATATCATATTATACAATATTTCACTACATTATTACACAATAAATGTATAATTCTACTTAAATTATTCTTCGTTGTCGCATACTATTAAAAATTCTAGAACGAATTTCCAAATACGATAGCAGCCTGCTTCGTTGTAAAATTTTATTCTAAACAAATAAAGATCAACGGTATAGTTTACGGGTACGTACTATAAAAGGATTCCAGCAAGAATTCTGCGGAGCAACGATTTCCCGCGATTCAGCGACAGCTCGGTGGCTGCGATTCGAGAAAATCTGCGAAGATTCTTCGAAGCGGGTCGCGTTTTTGCCCGCGTACGCGTTCGATCGGAAATTAATGATCGCAGGAACGGCGTGCCGCGGAAGAAGGATTTGCAGTTTATTGCGCGGCGCAGAAACTCGACGAACTGGTCGAGATTGCGGGGCATGTGGCCACCTCTATTGCGTGCGTATACATTCGGGGTGACAGATTTACGAGAGAAATCGGTGTAGCTCAAGCTGCTTTAACGAAGCCGCCTGACGTCATTAGGCAGCTTCCCGCGAGAGCTTCGGTACATACCGATCGATTGTGACTCGAGCCTGATTCTTCAGAACTCGTTTAGTCTATACCCGATCATCGCCAGTCGCGTTCGCGCGCCAACAATTGTTCGGATTCGTCGAATCATCTGCAAATACAATAATCATAACGGCGTAAGTCGCATTTTACCGATCGTTTTCCTTTTCGTTTACTAACAATTGTTTACTAACCGTATCGTTTGTTCAAATAATTTAGAGTTAAATTAATCTATTTCATAATTTAATTGATCGGTCTTTACAGCAGTTTGGCATGTGTTCATTACAATTTTCAGACATACGTGAACATTTTCGAAAATGTCACTTACGCCACTGTGATTCTAACCGACTCGTGTTAAAACGCGAAAAATTCTGAAATAAAATGCAGTCAACGTAGCGATTTGATAGCAAAAGTTCGGTTGCATTTCGCGCGGAACGAGAGAATTTGAAAGAAACTCCGTTCGCATGAAGCGAAAGTGTCAAATCGTTGGATCCTCGTTGCAGATCAGCCGACCATCAACGAGACCACGAACAACGTAGTGGACGGGATCAATCTGGAGGAGATCAAGGAGTTCGCGAAGGTGTTCAAAATGCAGAGATTGCATCTGGGTCTGACGCAGACCCAGGTGGGTCAGGCCCTGAGCGTAACCGAGGGTCCAGCTTACAGCCAAAGTGCCATATGCAGGTGAGTGTGCACAGTTTGCCGTGTCCTCTTATCTCGCAACAAAATCCAACGGATGTCGCTGATGAGAACCTAAAAGAAACAAAAAAGAAAACGAAAAAAAGATAACACGATAGACTACGACAGTGTGCCAGGTCACTGGAAATGCCGTGGAAAAGGATTAATTAATCCCGTCTGGTCAGCCGATGCTGAGAATATTTCTAGACCACGAATTAGGAAATCGTCTTCGTGACAATGCTTCTCAGAAAATTCATTGTTTTCGTTCGCGCTCCGCTCGAGCTTACGAAAAACGCATTAGCGACAATTATCACCTGCAGTTTAACGTTCGAAAGAAAGAGGAAAAAAAACAATAGATTTACCGAACACAGTTAGCTGATCATAACGATTGTCGAGATTCGCATCGAATTGTTTCGTGCGAAATTCAAATTCTCTCTTTAGCCCTCTGTTTGGTCGCGTCGGGAACCGAATATACAGTATTCCCTCCCTGCGATCGCGCTTGTCTCGCGTAGGTCAGCCAACGGTGGGCGTGGCTCGCACCCGGCCCAGCCAATTGGCGCGAGTTGTAGCGGGGTCAGAGTTGCGTCGACGGCTCGTTAGAAGCTCGTCGGCAGTCCCTCGCGGCGCGACCATAGGGAGGGAATACTGTATGCCAACGTAAAGCCGCTGGATTATAGAGCCGATCGTGTTCAATGAGAAAAATGTGTCAAACCTGCCACGTTGGTTCCTCCACAGACAGAAAAACGAAGATCTCTCTAGATGTTGTTCAAGCACTCCTTTCTTGCCATTTACGGTGTGTTCTCTGCACGCTTGCTCTTTTATTCCACGGCAGAACGTTAAAAGGAACCACCGTGGTAACGCCGGTGGCTCGCGGAAATCATGTTTCCGCATTTCCTATCGAATTCTTATCGTAACGACTAATTTAAGCTTTGGTAGATTGTTCCCCAGTGCCCTGGCTACCCAGATGTACGCTGCCACGCAGATTGCCTCTCAGCAGCAAGCTACGTACGTTCACCCCTCATGCTACTTAATTTACCTAAAGAATCGAGAACTTTGTCAAATCCTCACGGTGGAACGGCAGTTATACCTAATACCCCATGTGAATCCGGGACACGTTTTGGTCGTCGTGTGCGCTCGCGTCGTCGCCGAGAAAAACGGTTACCCACTGCGGGTAGCCAATCGTAATGCTGAGATTAGTCGACCACTATTCTATCGAGTCCGCTTCTCCGTTCACACCATGGACAGCGTGTGTGTCTCGCCCGTGTCCGATAGTCTTTCGCTCTCTAACTCCATCCAATCGTCTGTCGATCCTTCTATTTCGCTTTTCTTCGTCCCCTCTCAGATCCCCCTCCATCTCCCTTCCATTCTCAGCCTCTTTTTCGCTCACTCACTTACTTACTCACTCACTCACTTACTCACTGAATCTCTCTCGTCTCTCTTTCTCTCTCTCTCTCTCTCTCTCTCCCTATCTCTCTGTGATTAGCCAACGGAATCGATTGAAATTAATAGCTACGGGGCATGTTTGGGTATAGCTGCAAGTACTCTCGCTGATTCCTAACTCCGTTTTTGGAAAAGAGAAAGGAGCACTGTTTTTCGAAGTTTGTAACGAGCTATTTCTTCGAGCCAGGGCATTGGCAATCTTGGGCATGATGTCGCCAACGCGCGAAAACACCGCGGCCTCCGTCGAGTCCGCCGCCTGTTCGACAATCCTTCTTTCCCTAAGGCGGAACGCCTGTGATCCCATACGTCCACTGCGAGCCCGGTCTCGGCTGTCGAAGCGCGTTGGCAACATCATACACGGCATCACCAAAACCTTTAAGCATGCACGCATTGTCAATGTCCTGTTTTTTGAGTCAATGCATGCCTCTTAGTGCTCCTTTAGTCGGTCAAAAACGTAAAGACGATCTGTGAACGCGGACACGTGAGCTGCCATAAGTACATCTATGCTCTTTCCGACGCTTGGAACAAACGGCATTGAAGAATACACCCGGAAAAAAAGAGTACTTTGGACGAAGCCGTTTCGATAATTTTGCACCTCGTGTCGATTGGAACGAATACGTTGGTCAAATCGTTTTTAGATGAATCGGCTTACGATGCGAAGGAACATTCGTTCCAATCAAAGTCGAACGTCATAATTAGCGTACAACAAAGCGCACTAATGCAGGAAACACCAACAATTTCACAAGTGTTCCATGCTGATTGGAACGGAACGACACGCTTGTTCGAGTAGCTTCGGTGAATCTGCTGTCATTCCACGTGATGATCGATGAAACAAAATTTCATTTGTACGGAAACAATGATTCCGATCGCTACGATAATCCGAACGAATCTTTTTAACGCTCCAATCGAGATGCGACCGCGATGTTTAAGCTCTGTGCGAGAGTTCGTTAAATGGTCGGCAGTTTGTGGGTCAGTGATTATTCGATTCAAAGTACGACTTTCTCCGAGGTTTATCGAATCAAATCGGCAAACATAACAATGTGTTTACGCTTCGTTGGGACCCGTACTTCGTACAGAATGTTTAACAGACGTTCTCATCGGGACGTTCATTAATTTGTTCGTACACACAGACACACAGACACAGAGAGAGAGAGCTCGAACGTTCATGGACGTCTTTACGCGTTCGACGTCAGATCTTTTCCTATTACCATGAGTTCGACTTTTGCGAACATCACCGAGACCAGGAATCATTAAGTACTTGTTGGCTCTAGATTCGAAAAATTGGACATCACGCCAAAGAGCGCGCAAAAAATAAAACCGGTCCTCGAGAAGTGGATGAAAGAGGCACAAGAGAGGTGAGTTGCATTCCATCATTCCATTAAACAAAAATTATCTTTCAGTTCTGTTTCATTGAATTTCCCCGAGCTTTGAGAGTGTCGAGGTGCCCGATCACGCGTTTCGAGGTGTATTTTCGCATCACGATTCAGAAAATTAGAAACGCCTTCGCGATGGCTCGCCGGAAAATCTGAAATACCTTGTTAATTATCCGTCTACGGTACTACGCGGATAAATGAGCGCTATTCCCACCACGTTCCCTCTTTAATTTCTGCTAGTCACCTGGGGTGCCGTTTACTAATGAATCTCCAGATCTCCTTAAAAATATTTTCGATCCGCTGGCAATTTGTTACAACATCGCTGTAATTAAAAATACGTCGTTCCATACCGTCTAACCAGACTCTTGAAAATGTAATCTTTGGATATACCGACATATTTTTCATATTTGTTCGTTAATGTCGAACGTTGTATACGTTTCTCTTGAAGATTGAAAAACCTATTCTCAGCAAACGGAGAAAACTAATAATAGAATAGATGATGATGAAAAACTGTAATAGATGAGAAACTACAATAGACTGCGGATTTTATGCATGTATTGCAAAGATGTGTAGATCGAATGCAGAGCATAAGCATCCGAAGTGTTTACAAATTCTATTGCATTATACAGAGCTCATAAAAATGATCGAAAAAGAAGTAGATGTCTATCTGATCACTCTGTCTTACAATCAATGCGGACAATTTGTATTTTGCATACAAAACCCGCGGCCTAATCATGAGAAATAGCAGAAAATCGTTTGCGAATACCGACAAGATCTTCATTATGCAAACACGCAATTCACGCATAAAATTAACCGCTTGACTGCAGATTTTTATGCAAAATAAAAATTCCCCGCATCGATTACAAGCAGCTGCAAAGACATTCGCTTGATCCTTTGATCATTCTGTGTCTCTGCTCCAAGTTGAAGTATTTCATTCAACCAAATTAAAATTAAAAAATCACGTTTTCTACGACGTCGATCACTTCTTCAACATTCTTACATTCTGCGGGCACTGACACGATTAAGAAGATACAATAGATCGGCGTAAAATAAAAATTTCAAATCTGAGTTGATCACACGTTAAGGTGTTAATAAGTAATGCAACGTTGAATGTTTTCAAGTTCGTTAAATTATTTTGGAAAATTCGTTAAATGTTTTCACAGTTTCGCATTGTCGTCGCAATTTCCTAAAATCCAGAATCTATTTCTGCAGCTTGCAAATTGAAAAAAAAGATTGAACCAGTAATCGGAAACTGCAAAATCGCGACCACAGCTCGTTACAGTCTCGTCGCCGGTCCCGATCACCGTCGTATTGCAAGGCAACAGGCTTTTCGAACCGATGTTTAGCATCGGATATGACATCGAAACAGACGGAAGCGGCGAGAAAAATACGCCGATTACGATGGAGATCGGCTCGAACGGCGCGTTCCGTGCCGCAGGATTATATCCCGCAATCGTCGAGCAGGATCTCAAGCGGTGTCCGAGAGCGTGTGAACGCGTGCGTGCTAATTGGTAATTCGCTAATTGAATCCACCTGATTAATTGCAGATCCGCGTCTAATAAATACGCGGAATGTTAATTAGAATGGGGGAAACCGTTACCGGAATGGCGGCGGTCGTGCTCGCGCCGCTTACAGGCACCGCGCCGGTTTCGTTCGTGTCGCGAAAGAAGTCGCCTATCGGCTTCCACCTTCGGGGTATCGGTCTCGCCTCCTTGCACACGGACGAGCGCACACCGGGGCCGTTCAATTTTCTCCGAACCAGCTGTATCGGGATCTGTAATTAGCGAAACTCAAATCTTTGATTCATCCGCAGCCTCCGTTCGACTGATACCGGTTGCCTCATAACGAACGATACCCGACCGCAAAAACCTATCGATTTATTGGGTTGCTCCACGGATTCTCATGGGTCCTCTTTTTCTTGTCGCCGGAGTCGCAGTTGTCTCGAATGAACGCCCGGCATTTGTTGCATACATTGCGAACAGATGAAATTAGCAAAGCGTGAAGTCGTTCGAGCTGATGAGTTTAAGTTTCTGCGGTAATTTGCGTGGTTTCTTTGCTTCATTATGGAAATCTGTTTCATTGACTCTAGGGATTCTTTCTTCACAGGATAACGAAATACATGATCTGAAATCGGATCATTGGTTCAGGGACAAAATGGTCTGCGAAAATACGGTAGCATTTCGATACGCGTTGCTTTGCTCTCTTTTGGTTCATTATGAGCGTGTCGAGATGATTTTGGTTGGTTTTAAGAATTTTTCAACGAGAAAATGACGTACAAGCTATGTTCTTGAACAATTGTTTCAAAGACAGAATGGTCTCACAAAGTATGGTAGCACTTCGATACATGTACATATATATATACATGTACGTACTTTGATCCGCCGTGGAAATTATTTTATATATCTTGAGCAATATTTTGTTCAAACGAATGAAATACAAGCTTCGTTCTTTAATAGTAGTAATTCTTTCTGAGTCAGAGAGATTTGCTAATGTACAGGGCCACCTCGATACATGTAGCTTTACTCATCTCAGGAATTATTTTCAAAAGATAAATTAAGTATAAGTTGTTCTTCGATGGGATAATAGTGGTTATATGACTAGAAAACTTGACTAGCTAAATTTCTTTCATGTGAGACTAATAATAACAGAAAGTACTGAAGTATCTCGAAATATGTTAATAGTTTTGCCTTACTTTACTTTATTATTATATTTCACATATTTTCAATGATTCCTTGGCTGACAGGTTGGCTACAGGTTAAATCATTCAATAAGAGTATTGTTTTCTTGGAAAAGTAATAATATAATAAAGTAATAATTATAAGTAATAAGGGAAGTAATAATGTAATAATAACAGTAAAGGAAGTAAATCTCAAAGTATTGGGTTGGCAACTAAGTAATTGCCGATTTGTTCAATGAAATATAAAATTTTTTTTTCTTGGAATGAAGTTTAATCTGTAATGATTTTCCATTTTGTTCGATGACCTTTTGCCATCTCTCTGACAACTTGAAAATTCCACGCTCGTAGAAAGTCTGATCCTTTTCGGCCAAAAACTGAGTTAAGTGAGATTTTACAGCGTCATCATCGTTAAAAGTTTTACCACGAAGGGAGTTGTCTAGGGATCGAAATAAGTGGTAATCCGATGGCGCGAGATCAGGGCTATATGGTGGGTGTAATATCAATTTCCAACCAATATCCATCAATTTTTGCCGAGTGGACAAAGACGTGTGCGGCCTAGCATTGTCCTGCTGGAAAATGACACCTTTACGATTGACCAATTCTGGTCGCTTTTCCTT